TTAATGGGCACGAGGAGGGTGGGAGCCCATTGGAGGTCGCAGCCAGCAGTGGACACACAGAGATTGTCGATCTGTTGCTGGAAACGGGCGCCAACGTCAATCCGCAGAGCACAAGATACGGCAGCCCGTTGGAAGTCGCAGTCAGGCGCGGGCACACGGAGATTGTTGGTCTTTTGCTGGGAAAATGTGCCGACGTCAATGCACAAAGTACAATGCACAGCAGCCCGTTGTGGTACGCATGCCGCAACGGCCACGCCGACATAGTACGTCTCCTGCTTGCGAACGTCGACATCGCAACACATGGTTCAAGGGTGTTGGAGGCCGCAGCCAGCGAAGGGCACACAGACATTGTTGGGCTTCTGCTAGAAAAAGGCGTGGATGTCAATGCACAGCATGAAGAATACGGCAACGCGTTGCAGGCTGCATGCCGTAACGGCCACATCAACACAGTACGTCTCCTGCTTGCGAACGCCGACATCGCAACACATGGTGCAAGGGCATTGGAGATGGCAGCCAGGTCGGGTGGAACAGAGGTTGTCGGTCTTTTGCTGGAAAAAGGTGTCAACGCCAATGGAGAGGGCGAAAAATATCACAACGCATTGGCGGCCGCATGCACTTCAGACTTTCGTACGGAGACGGTCCGGCTCCTTCTTGAGAACGGTTCCGAGGTCAATGGACACGAGGAGGAAAGCCCGTTGCAGGTCGCAGCCACCAATGGGTGCACGCAGATTGTTCGCCTTTTGCTGGGGAGAAAAGGCGTGAACGTGAATGCGCAGAGCAAAAAATACGGCAGCGCATTGCAGGTCGCAGCCATCAATGGGCACTTGGAGATTGTCAGTCTTTTGCTGAAAAAAGGCGCGGACGTCAATTCCCAGAGTAAAAAGTACGGCACTGCGCTACACACCACGTGCCGCAACGGCCACGCTGACATAGTGCGTCTCCTGCTCGAGAACGGCGTCGACATCGAAACACAGGGTGGAAAGGCGTTGCAGGTCGCAGACAAGAAGGGGCACAAGGACGTCGTCCGTCTTTTGCTGGAGAAAGGCGCAGTTCGAGCCACAACGGCATTGGACTGGAAGACAGAAGAGGAGTCGGAAGACACGGAAGAGGAACTGGAGGACACAGAAGAGTAGTCGGAGTTTGTCAACGGAGAGTTAAATGCATATATTTTCTTGGATTATAAATACAGCGTGGAACGAGCCACCGAAAAGAACATTCACAACTCAAAGGGACCGCCTCCTCTCGCGGTTCCTTCACCCACGCGCCTGCCCAGCACCCCCGAAATGCAGGCGTATGCGCCGCCAAAGATACAGACTTATATCGGGTGTGACAGACGGGTGCGCGCAGACCCGCCAAACTATGAAGCGGCACCGAGTAAGTGCAGAGACACCCCCGCATGGCAGCTCTACCAGTCGCAGACATGGAGACGGCTACACCGTACGGTGTAAGGCTTGCCGCCTCTATACACCGCGACCGCGAGCACCATGACGTAGCACGCAGCGTCACCCGCGGTGCACCTGCAAGGCTCCGGACTTCGACGCTGCATAAGCTGCTGCAGCTAGAGCCAGCGCCCACGCCGACGACACTGCGCACAAACGAGGGCCAGGTCCATCGCATCCACCGCGCCCGCACCAGACCCGCTACCCTCCGCGACGCCCCGTGTGGGCCTGCCATGCATACAAGTGCACGCAGGACCACGCCCCACGCCCGCCCCCAACGCGCGCGCACACCCGACGCGGCGCCCATTTCCTGGAGTGCCCATGGTACACGGGAGCAGCGGGCGCCGGACCCGACAGCGTCGCAGGGCCGCGTCCGCACCCACTCCGGCTGGGTGCCCCCGCACCCAGCGCAAACCCCCCGCGAAGGAAAACCGAAAACGTGCCACCAGCACACCCGCGCCCAACGTGGCGTGCGGAGTCGACGACCCTAGCCCCGCAGCCGCCTGATACACACCCGCTCGCTCCGAGTCGACACCCACTGTGATGTAGAAAGGAAGAAGAGAAGGGAAAAGAGCGCGCGCCGGACGTTGTGCGCGGGCTGTAGCCTACGCGCTCATCAAGACATCGAGCACGCGGAATCTGAAAGCGAGTGAAAAAAAGGAGCCAGCACGCGGAAGCAGGTGCAACGCAGAAGCCCCTGAATGCAGCGCGGACGAGCCGAGCACAAATGGACGGGTATCCTCTCTCGTGCGCCCACCGTGGTGCACGACACGCAGCAAAGCATATCGCATGGCGAGATGTCCGGGTACAGGCCCAGCGTGTATATCCTTTATAGTATAAAATGAATGAGGCGGAGCGAGGACCAAAGGACCACCCACTAGTGGACCGCCTTCCGAGCGGATGGACCTTAAAGCGTCGCGCGATGGCAGCGGGCACGGAATCTGTGGGTGCGATGACCGCGAGCGCACTCCAGCGCATTACCGCCGCGTCGGGCATATCTCATTGCGATGAATCCTGGCCCCAAGTAAAATAGAATGAATGTCAAGTCGAATGAAGGACATGCGTGCCACATACCGATAGTGGAACTCCTAGTCAATCTCCAGTTAATTTGGTGTGTCTGCGGTGGCACGGGCTATTTTCGCGCGTGGACAAGGTAGAGCGACCTCGGTCACGGATGACCTTGGGGGAGATTTCCTTGACGTCGGTGTCGTTCGAAGGGCTAGTGAATACATTCCTGGCGTGGAAGGAAGCAAGCATACAAGCCGTGCGGAAGTCAATCGAGAGTCCTCCTTTCGTGCGAGCTAAAATGTATCAGTGGCCTATCACATTCCTATTTGTCGTGAGCTACGGCCGCAGGAAGACAATGAAGAAGGGCTCGCATGAGAGGAGGTCGAGCCTCGGAGAAGTCCCTCGATGTGACGCGCAGCTGCAGCTCTGCACGTCTGAAATTTTGACTAAATCCATGGGCGACCACGAGCGTGCAGCGCGGTCGGGCCTGGGGATACAAAATAGAAAGCCAAGCGATCTCGACGAAACCAAGCAGGACTTTGCGGGTTGCGCAGCAAGCGTCGTGCGACGGGAGTGACGGGACATGTTTGATCGTAGTTTGCCGGATCAGTCCCGACTTGATCCCGACCAGCAAGTGCACAGAAACACAGAACCCAGGCCACACATGAGCACAGTCCGATCCTCCGAACCCTGTGCCGAGTGGAACTTGTCTCCGCAGCGCCATTCCGGCGTGGAGAAGGTCAAGAAAAGGTCCTCTTTATTTCAACTCCGGTATCTCCTTCGCAATCAACCCTTCCTAGGAATAAACTTCCACACAGGTGACAGCTACCCCGTCTTTTGTGACTATCCAACCTGAATCGCTCGTTCTTCGGTTGCCGGTAAGTTAAGACTTCAGTTGATTTTCGCTTGCATAAATTCAAGGAAGATATAGGCTATACGGACACCCGGTGCACATCTACTCAAGATACGATACTTTATCTCTGTTGCAGCAAGAGGCCTCCGTTCAACGCCCGCACACCGTCGCACGGTTGGCTTCCAGCGGTAATTTCAGGTGCAAAGTGCTAACATCTGTAGTTCAAATTAAACGCATCCGAGGCCGGCCGCACTGCATGGCATACGACCAGGGTTTATTCTCAATTAAACGCATAGCCCTCCTTCTCAGATATGCCACCTGATTCATCGATCCGTTTGAGATTTACCGGTTCCAACGTACGTCTTCAAGCACAAGGTCCTCAACTCGTCTACTCCCTTCCAATTTAATTCTTTTCAGGAAGACAAGCAAGGGAGACGACTTTCAATTTTTCCTCTTGAGTGGCCTTGCCTGAGTGCATAATATCAAGTTCGCATTTTTTGAACAATTTAAAGTACTACTGTAGGTTGTTCAACTTGATTCTCATGAATCGATACTCACAATAAAGCAGGCAGCACCCGGTAGCACACGGAGTGCATCTGCAAAAATTAAACAAGCTTTCAAGCAGAAGCCCCCGTTCGATTCGGGGCGGGTGATGACGATTTTGAGGAATTATTTTTTTCGTCCAATTCACCCACTCCCCTTTCCTTTTTTTATATAGAAAGGCAAACCAAGGCGACGAGGAAGAGGATTCAGGTAGAAGGCCCGTTTGATCCGGGGCTGGGTTTTGTAAAGCGATATTGTCTGTCTTTTTCTCCCTCGCTAGACTCCCCAATTTAGTTCCTACGAATCTAACGGCCCAAAGGCGCATGGCGCTCGTGCGCCCTAGATGGTGCTTCATTTTATGGAATTTGGAATTTCTCAACTGCAGCCATTCCAATTGCGCTGGCATAAATCGAGGGAGAGAACAGGGTATCAGACTGTCATCCGGTAACACATGGTGTGCATCTGCGCGAACTTATGATGAAAGCCATTAATCGTCAGCAGAAGGGCCCCGTTGGATTCGGCACCGGGTGATTAATTAATAACAGATTCGGATGTGTTTTTTCGTTCGAGCTCGTCGCTACTCTTCTGTTGACTATTTAGGATCCAGTTCTATTTAATTCGCATAAAATGAGAGATAAAACAGGGTAGAAGACCACCCGGTAGCACATGGTGTGCATCTGCAAATGCTAGATGAGCCACTTGCACTGGCGGACGGCCCCCGTTCGATTCGGGGCCGGGTGGTATTATCTCATCCATCTGTTTTTTTTTGGTTCATGTTGCCCACCCCCAATAGCTTCGTTTTTCTTTCTCAGGAGCGCAAACGCAGACTGGGACCCATCCCGGTAGCACCTAGTGCGCATCTCCTCAATAGCAAGCTGCATCACACACCTTTGTAGGCAAACGGACCCGTGTGATCCGGGGTCAGCTGCACCGATTTCGATTTTTTTGGTTGCTCCAATCTTTTTCCAAATTATTTTTCCCGGAACGCAAACTATAAAAATAGCTATATTTCTCCTTCATACGCGAGTTCCTTCACATGTGAGTTCACAACATCTCGATTCACATTTTGTTGGGTAGCATTTCGTTCTCACAGTTCTCACCTACACTCCACTCCAAGTTCGTCCACATAAACCCAAGTTCACAAAAGGGCATACCAGCACCCGGTAGCACACGGTGTGCATCTGCTCTGCCTACGCAATAGATGATATATTGCAAGCAGAAGGACCCTGTTCGATTCGGGGCCGGGTGTTACATGGCCCCGATTGGCTTTTTGGGTACAACCGCGAGATTAGGTACACAAGGAAGATTCAGTCAATATTCAATTTCTGGGAGTGTACACCGTTTAAATTTTATAGAAAGTCTAAGGTACAACTTGTTTGAATCAAGGAACAAGAATGTGAATAATAGGTAGAGGGAGATGGAGATAGACACATGGAGACGCACTGCGCGCCTATCTGCTGCAAACGCCATCGTGCGACTATGTGGTGAAAACGCGCAACCGGCAGCACGAAGAAGAAAGCAAGGAGAACAAATGATATGCAGAAGAGAAGGCGCAGACTCGGCGGAAAGTAAGACACAGGATTAGGCATGCCTGCCACGAATAGGGAGCGCAGAAAGGACGGAATGCGCCAGAATGAGAGGTGCAGGAGGGCCGCAGATCAAGTAATATTGGAAGGAGGATGGCCAACGAAGAATCCCAAGAAAGACGATGGCTGGGACAAGAAAACACGGTGGTTGCGCCGAAAACGACGACGAAACGAACGGGGGAACCATGGAAGCAGGGAAGGATTGGAAGAGGCGCAACGTGAGAAAGCCAGGAACACGCAGGGAATAGAGCGCTCGAGAGGACCGAGAACACCTCTTGTGCGAGTGGCCACCGCCGCTCGAATCGAGTCGACATGTGCTGAGCAGCATAAAGGATGTGGGGCCGACACGCCACGCAGGGTCGGCGGTAGCTCAGGCGGGATGCGCGGAGAGGTAGGGCGAGAACGGGTGGAAAGAGGCACAAGAAGATGCGGCAAAGAGGATGCTCGGGCAGGCATCGGCACGCCGAAATGCGGGGTCGACCGACACGGTAGGACCATGCGTCAACGTGCGCACAGGGCGCGCGCGAAAAACAAGAGGGGCGGACAAATCTAGAAGGAATAAGGAGAGAGGGGAAGGAGAAGCTTGGAAGTGTGTGGTCCCATGTGTGCGGGTCTCGGAGAAAGGAAAGCGGGAGAGAGGACGCAGATGAGGAGTTGAATAGTGCGACTTGGAGCACCGAGTTGAGGTTGAGGACGGACCGAAACCGCGAGCTGCAATGGTAAAAATCTGTCGTGGGGTGGACAGCCACATGGAAGTCGAGGACGCACCGTGGCCTCGCTCTCGTGCATGAGAAAGCGGCTTGAGGGGGATACCCAACCCGCACGAGATTCGTCGGCGGGATCACGAGCGCTGTCGGGCGCGGGGCTAGGCGAGGCCGACGAGAATGGTGGACGCGGCCACCGGATCAATCCGGGCGCGTCCTCGACTTGCATCACATGCACTCAAGAATTCGAATGCTTTGCAGTGCCACCTGGGCGGGTTGAGCGAGGCAGAAGGACGGCCGTGGTAGCACAAGGTGTGCATCTGCAAGAGTTTCCCAGAAATCTGAGTCATTCTATGCAGAAGGTCCCGGTTCGATTCCGGGTCAGGCCCTGAAGACAGCCCTTCCTTCTTCTTTTTGCCCGCAGCTTTATTCGAGCTCTTTTCTTCATCAACTTCAAACCAATTTACTCAGGGACGTAGATAACACACAGTTCTTTTTAGGGGTTCAACTCACCCGCTCACATTCAAATTTTCTACGAAACACAACTAGCGTCAGCTATATTTTTGGCCAGTAGTCTCTTACCACATGCAATCGAATTTTGCTCATACAAAGTGAAGGAAGGGGGCAGTGCCAACAGTAGCGCGTCTCGAGCTCATCACAATCAATTGTAAGCAGGGTCCCAGTTCGAGTGGGGAGTGGGCTAGATAATTCTTTTTTTTTTTCTGCTTCAAAACCCACCAACTCCTATCAGCTCAGTCTCAGCTCCACAATTCACCGCGAGGGTTCTGTATTTCCGCAGATTGACACTCAAGTTCGTGATATCGGCTTTTTTATTTTCTTTACTAGGTTGCGATGGCATGGCAAGCCATCAACATATATAAAATCGCCCGGTAACATACGGTGTGCGTCTGCGGACCACGCGTATACAATGAGATGCGCATGCAGCAGAAGCCTGTCCCCGTTCGATTCGGGGCTGGGCAATGCGGAGTGTCGTCCAGCTTTTTCTTTGAAGTTACCCACTCTGACTAAAATCGGTTTTACGCACACAAGTTACAACCAGCGCCATGGCTGCCTATTTATTGGGGAATCCCTCGGCTCACTTCTAATTCAATTTGAGCTAGTCTATTCAACCACAACCAGAATGCGCATCGCAGCGGTATGCACCAAAATTGGCTCACATAAATCAACGAACAGAAATAGGCATAGAACTACCCGGTAAGTGTATTCCACTCCCACTTGGTTCTTCACAGTCATGCAAATTCAGGCCAGCCCTCCGAAATTTGGGACATGATTCCGCATTTCTGTTGGCCGAATTCCGCGGCGGTAATGGAAACGAGGCCTTTGCTGGCCTTTGTTCTTCGCAAGCCGGCCCATGCTGCTCACATTTGCTCATACTAATTCAAGTCCCTACCAGGAATAAAAGATACCTGGTAGCACATGGTGTGCCTCTGCCCAACTCATGCACTTCAAGAGATTTCAAGCAGAAGGACCCCGTTCGATTCGGGGCCGGGTGATTTCCCAAGAGGTTCCAACTTTTTGGCACGGGTTCGACTTGTGCGTTGCCCAACTCTTTTTATCCAAATTAAGTCCAAGCGAGTGTATTTCTGTTTAAAAATCCAAGTTCATGGACCGTCATGCACTGCGTAAATCATCGACACATGATTCGACGGACAGAAGCAGGTATAAGACCACCCGGTAGCACATGGTGTGCCCCTGCTCAAGGTCAGTTGAACTAACTTTCATGCTGGCAGAAGCTCCCCGTTCGATTCGGGGTCGGGTGAATTGATTGGAAGTGTGGTCCTTTTTCTACTTCAACTCTCCCACTTGGTTCTTCACAGCTATGCAACTTCAGGCCATCCTTCCGAAATTTAGGACACGACTCCGCATTTCTGTTGCTCGAACGCCGCGGCGGTCATGGAAACACGGTCTTTGTCCTTCGTATGCAGCTCAAATTTACTCATACTAATTCACGTCCCTACCAGGTATAAAATATATTTGGTAGCATATGGTATGTGTCTGCTCAACTTGAGTTACTTCAACGTGGCTTCAAGCAGAAGGTCCCCGCCGGGTGAGTATCTTCTTTTTGGGGCTCAACTCGCTCACTCCCTTTCCAGTGTAATTCTCTTCAGGAAGAGAAGCAAGGGAGACGACTGCTAAATTTCCCTGATGAGTGGAAATGCCTGAGTGTATAGGAGTAAGTTGGCACTTTTAAATAGAACTATACATCAATATTGCACAACTTCAAGTTGACTCTCATGAATCAAACCTCATAATAACCGGATGGCACCCGGTAGCACATGCGTGCATCTGCTCAAACTAACTAGTTGTTGCAACAGATTGCTTTCAAGCAGACGGTCCCTGTTCGATCCGGGGCTGGTTTTGCAAGGCGATATTGTCTGTCTTTTTCTCCTCCGCTTGATCCCCAATTTAGCTCTTGGAAATCCAAAGGACCTAAAAGGGACAAGACGTTTGCGTGTGCTGGATAGTGCGTCGTTGACTCAAGACCTGGAATTTGGATTTCTCAATCACAGCCATTCCAATTGCGCTGGTATAAAATCGAGAGTGAGAACAGGGTGGAAGACCTCCCAGTAGCACACAGCGTGCATCTGCGCAAACTTAGGATAAAGACAAATATCCTCAGCAGAAGGTCCCCGTTCAATTCGGGACCGGGTGTTGATTGAGATTCGAATGTGTTTTTTTTTTCTTGCTCGAGCTCATCGCTACCCTTCTGTCGACTATTCAGAATCCAGCTCAATTTCACTCATATAAAATGAGGAACAAAATAGGATAGAAGACCACCCCGTAGCACATGGTGTGGCCATCTGCAAATGTTCATTTAGCCCGAGGTGCGTCTGGCAGACGACCCCCCGTTCGATTCGGGGCTGGGTGATGAAGTGAGTGTATCGTGCAAACATATTTTTGTCCAACTTACCTTACCCACTCTGACTGAATTATTTTTACGCACATTTGAAAAGGGGCCAATCGAGCTGGGTCGATTTTTTATTGGCATTCAAAGACCTCAGGCCTCAAGCTCTGCCATTATTTCTTTTCGTCCCGGATTCGTTCCCGACACGCTCTTTAATCAACCCATCCTGTTGAGTGACGTTACATCCGGGGGTCTTTCACGCATCAGGAAAATCCAAAGTTGCCCCATAGCACCATATAGCGCACCAGAGCCCTATATAGTGGCCATAGCTGATATAGCAAACTGACCAACCTCAGAGAAACGTGGGACCCTGGACTGAACTTCATAGCCCACCATAGCCCACCATAGTCACAGTGTTTTCTATGATAGTGGTCACGGTCAGAGCACAAAAAAATTGGGATGTTGCAATTGTAAGGTCATAATGTATTGTTCTCTTGTTGCATTACTACGGTAATGGGGTGCAAATTCAAGGTTACAGAAAAGCTAATTAACATTAAGCAAGGGTAAATATATTTAAATGCGACCACCTTGGGGAGTTGAACTCAGGACCTCGCGCGTACGACTGAAATTTGAGAAGCAACAAAATAACCACTAGACTAAGGAGACATTAAGATATATAGAATCAAAGTCATATTACTAGGGTCGGCACTGACCTACCACCTCCCTCTGTCTTTGCCTTCACTTTGTGGTAACTTACTACATATAATGAAGTGGTAGTGGTTAGGCTATAATTTTGTGAGTAGCTAAAAATAAACCCCAAACCAAAATTGTAGAGCTCGAAATGCTCAACAAAAGTTGTCAAGGGACAGATTTTGCCTAAGGGGTTTGTCCTGCTGCAAACCATAAAATGAATTCCCAGAAGGTTCCATCTGGTAGCAAGATCTGGTCCAGATAACCATTCGTGACAGCCATAAGTTTACTTGCCATTGTGTTACCTAACTTTCCACTATTTATACTAGTGAAATCTTATAGATGACCATAGCGCCATAGAGTCAATTGGTTCAGCTCTATAGACCTTCATAGCTCACTATAG